TGATGATTAGTACTTGAGATATAAGGGGAAAAGCTGAAAATTAACAAATTATGCGCATTGGCCCACAGTATCTATGCACCAAGTTTCGTCAAAAATCAATGTATGGTTTTTGAGATATCAGTGGAACAGACAGACAGACAGGCAGACAGGCAGACAGGCAGACAGACAGACAGAGACAGAGAGACACACTAACTGCAAAGACTTCCATTGTGTGCTTTGCACACAGGAGTCAATAAGTATAAGTTTACTTTGTGAATGATGACAGAAATTAACAATAAGCTAATTTAAAACTAAACAAGCCGGTAGGCTGGTTGGCGATCTGCTCCACTCAAAAACAAGCAACATGTTTTTGGCTGTTTCCATGGTAGGACATGAACGTGAAGCTAACGTCAGTTTATAACTGAATGGACCCATATACGAAGTTCGCAAAAAACAATGTCGGCGCCGGTGATCTCCTACCAGTGCACAACGTAGCCAAAATAAAAAGCATGATCATTTGAACACTGCTATTACAAAACTGGTAGGAGGTAATACATTTGGGGCAAAAGTATTCAAAAATCAGTTTTTGGATGTTGCAATGGCAGTGATCGGCTAGGATTTTTTTCCAATAAGTGACGGTACGACCTATCTCTGAAGTATGAACAAAATCAGCCGAGCCGAAAAAATCACAGAGAAGTAAGTCGTTGCTGGCGAAAAGTTACCCCAACTTTGGGGTCAAATTTCACGGTAATGAAAAAAGATATCAAAAATTCAAATAGTAACTTTGTGCCCACACTCAAGCTGAGTAGAATGAGGTATGTCAGAAGTGTTTTATCCTAAATTTGTAGGAGGAGATACATTTGGCGGGAAGCTATCCAAAAATCAGTTTTTTGGCTCTTGCTATGGCAACGGTGGGGCAAAAAAAAATTTCAGATTTTTCCTAATAACCAGAGTGAAGGTGTGACCTACCTGCCAAGTTTTAGCGAAATCGCCCAAGCCAAAAAATCACAGAAGAAATATAGGTGAAAACACTGGAAATCACAGACACACACACACACACACACACACACACACACACACACACACACACACACACACACACAAAATGACAAAAGTGATTATAAGGACAATCCTAGCGGAGCGGATCGCCAAAATTGTATATGTTAATACCATGACTGACATTGTAATTATAAATGAAAATTCCTGAAATGCACACACAATTCTTCAGTACAAATTCTGACTATCAAACATACGATAGTCAAAAGACCCCAACGAAGCTCTACGATTGCTTTCAAAAGGCAACTTCAAAAAATTGTCAGATACTAGTATTTTATAAAGTATGTCAGCTGACAGTCAATCTGGGCATTATATTCAGCCTGCACTGTTGTGTATCACAGACTTACCTGTAATTCATAAGCTAACTCAGATTCAGCTTTCTGGGTCTGTACCTCCTGGTCATATGCAGCTTTCTTCAATTCAAAGTCTCGTTGAGCATGTGCAATTTCAATATCATTGGCATATCGAGCAGCCATTGTTTCTTCTTTAGCTCTTGCTTCCTAGATAAAATAAATGCACATTGGCACTATAAATTAACCAGAATTCTCTATGATTTGGACATTGATTTCTCTAAATCTTGTTATTGGTTTACGATTTTGGATCCTACTAAATTCCTAGGGACTATTTGTTTTCAAAAGTATGTTTCACAATGTGTGACCAGAATGTCAAATTTACCTCCAAGTCTAGTGAAAGGAAATTCATAGGGGTCCTAAAAATGTTTGGCGAATATATTCACTGACATAAGTACTTACCTTGATCACCTTGCAGCTAATATGCATATATTTTGTTTTGTTTATTCAAAAAGTTGCTGTGGATTGTCTTAGTTATGTAAGAATTATATAGTATGGAGTGTGTTGACAAAAAAATACTACTAACTCTAGTAAAAAAAATCTAAATATTCAGCAATTTGTAGAATTCATGAATGCAAGTAGCATATCCATAAATGTACTTGTGACATTTAACAAACTTTATAATCCAAACTAATATTTGTTTTTATAAAGCACATAGCATTGAAGATAATAGTGGTATACACATCATCCAAATATATTAAAAACAAAGGTAATGATATATGTGTAGTTACACCATACTTACCCTCATACCAGAATCTCTCTTTGCTTCGGCTTCACCAATACGAGCATCACGGTGGACTTGCGCTGTACGAGACATACCAAGAGCTTTAAGATAACCCTAAAAAAAGAAAAAAAGACATATCAATAATTTAAGTGGTCTAGTTGGACAGGATAATAATATTTAAGAAAATATTTAAGATTTAGGGAGTGGCATCACTGAATGGTTGGTTCCGGGGCCATTCATGGTGAAATATAAATACTAAGAAGTTTATGGCAGAGATAGATAGTATCACAAATGTACAGCAAGTTACATACAACAACTGTACATGGTTGTATATTGGTATGGCGGTATACAATGTATATACCATTGGAAAGAGCCCTTAATGATCTCTAAAGGTCACACGTTCTGTCATTTGCCATACTAAAACAGCAACAATTTTCTCAACATTATAATGTCAATTTTTGCCATGATTTTGAGATTTTACGAGAGGGTTTTTGTCTCAAGCTGCAAGTACCGAATTGTGTGACCTTTAGGGGTCATGCATGATGCCTATTACACAACAGTCATTGTAACAAGCACAGGACAGAGCACAGCAAACAAAACAAGTGACAATTAATGTTTTTCAGTATTAACGAACCATTGATTAAATTAAAGCCCGTTAAAAAATACAATTTGAAACAAAACGTATCTGTGCAAGAAAAACAAAATGTTTATCGGGGTAGTCTATGATAATCAGTGCATTGGAAAGAAAGACAATGCTACAATGGTTTACCATAAAAGTGATGAGGTATTTAATTTAGCAGGATAATTTATAGTATGCATTTACAGTATGTATACAAGGCCTACATACTGAATACATAATCAGAGAAACAATTTATATATTATAGAATAGATCACATTATGTGGGTTTTATATTGTAAAAGATGAAAAAAGGGGTTAGTAGTTAGTGCATCTCTACCCTCAGAAAGAAAATATCAACAGACATGCATGACAGGGACACCCATGCATGTGAAGCTTAAATTATGAATATTTCATAATCTAAATTAATGGCAACTTTAAGCTTATTTATGGGATGCTATTGCCAAAAAAAAAATACACAGGAATACTGAAGACAAGTACATGTACATGTACATGTATTAGATAACAACATGAACACATATGGTTGTAATCATGAAAATCATGTATCAAGTCTATGTGTGTGTAACTTATCTAATAGCATCAAGCATCACTGTGTCGCCTAATGAGCACATATTGAACAACACCCTCAATATAACTTGCCATACACAACCCTGCAAATTGTTGTAATTTTCTTGCATTAAAGTAACTCCTAATTCTTCAAAATGCACGGTTCAATGCTCACCAATCATAATAAACTTATATGGCAATTGTTATATTCACTTCAATACGCTTTGATTAAGTATTTGATTATAAAAAACACAAATCCATAGTAATCTCCACAATGTAAACTGTTTCAGCAGACCAAGTCATTAAATAATTGACTAATTGCATTTAGAAGTGAATGGAAGACTAAATACTGAG